ATGTGAGTGACGTTAAAGCACACCAGTTATGAGTAAAAGGTTTAGAAAACATGGAAAGTCTCTGCCGGATCTCCTCTTTCTCCCATCTCCACCGTGACAACTGTCTGCCCAGTGTGTCCCTAAGCCTAGTTCCAGAGGAAAAAACCCATGGGCCAAATTTAGATGTCCCCTGGCTGGAGCAAAGCCACAAACCCTGATCTGTAGCCACTGACAGGCAATGTGACTGAGAAATAAGGAGTTGTTTTTGTCAGCTCCTGAGATTTCGAGGTTGTTCATTACACAGCATTATCACATCCAAAACCGATTAACACAGCTGAAGGGCGGAATTCAGTTCTACAAAATTAGAACTTAGTAATCAATATGAAATGCACTAGGAACTTGGAAGCACATGAAATTCACTGTCTAAATGAAATGCTCTAACCGTGTAGTCATCGGAGGTCCATGCTTTCTATAGAGGTGATGTTTGCACAGATGTCAAATATGAACTCTAGGGTCAGGGGCTGCCATCCCTCTACTCAGGTGCCAGTCTAGGCTTTGCTCTTAGAACAGGGTAAGAGAAGGTGTCCACTAACGTGATTTCTTCACTCTTTAGGGATGGATTATTTGCTGCTTCTGAGAAAGAGATGAGAAATATCAGAATAAAGTCTTTTCTGAAATAAGGCCCTGAGCAGATTGATTTGGCTGCCAGGTCCAAAAGTTATCTACTATTAAGACATGAGGATCTCCCTAACCCCAAACCTATGCAAACGAAGACTAAAAAGAGAAAAACCTTGAAGTTACATCCTGTTTAATGAGACAGAAAATGCTGATGACTCACAGGTGCGGGACAAAAGAGCCTGTTGGCCTCTCACTCCTAACTCATGAACTGGGCCCAGGGCCCAGATCAGATATTGTAGATGTCTCCACAGGGGGCAGGTCTTGGTGCATCTCTTTGATTAGCTGTAGAAGAAAGGGACAATGTAGTTGTGGATGTCAGTGGAGGGTGGGGTGCCCATCATTCAGTGGGGGTGGATCAATAGAAGCTTCTTGGTTACTGTTATTCAATGAAGCAGAACCAGGACCTTGAACAGAAGCAGATGATTCTCTAGATAATTCTGGTAGCTACTAGACCCAGGCAGAGGCCAATCACCAGGCCCACTTGAGTCTTAGCTCTTGAGTTGTGGGTAGAAGAGAGTGGTTGGGTGTCTTCAGTGGTTGGTTGGTTGGGGTCCCAATACTGCAGGACAGTGTAGCACATGTCAAGTTAGAAGACCTCTGTGGAGCCATTGCACAATCAGATCTTTCTGAAATTGGTTTTCTGCCTGCAATCACTGGAATATTGTCATCTTTTGGTTGTATTAATCTCTGGCTCAGACAAGCAACGTGCTTTTTCTGCCCAGCAACAGCTCCTTCTTACAGTATGAGCAGCAGGCCGGTAATCACAGGCTCTTTTTAAAATAAAGACCTGAATTTTTTAAAAAATATCTCTTTAAAATTTGCTCTCCATTTTTGATTTGTCTATTTGCCTGGTACAGCTTCAGCCCCTTCCCGCCCACTCACAATCTTGCACAATCCGCTGCTTCTGCAAAGCCAGGTCTCTCCGCTCATAGGGTCATTAAGAAACTCAACTTGCAGGTGCAAGCGTTTCCATTCATTTTCCAGCTGAGCTTTAACCAACTGAACAGAGCAGGAGTCACATTGCTCTCCCCTAACTGAAACCTTTCCTCATTCAGTTTTGGTTACAAATTCTCTTAGCTTCTATTGCTAATATAGTTTTACCCAGAAAATATTCATCAGTTTTTCTTCTTTAGCTTTTATTTTCTCTCTCCAGTGATCAGCCAGTTCTGTGTCCCCTGGCACATTCCATGGCTTGCTTTCTTTTCCTTATTTTTTCTCCTACCCTGAGAATCAAGATGGCGTACAATCCATTTTCATCCCCAATATACAGAAAAAGAGGATAGTCATATAGCCTCTTCTTGTTAACGAAAAAAATAGAACTATAAGCATATTTATGTATAAGAAAAATAAGCTTTTCTTCTCAATACTATAGCCTTGGGAACTGAGGAGAAGGGATTTTAATAACCACTCAGGTTTCTGGGTATATTGCCATAATCCAAGTGTGGCGTCTTTATTACGGAGCACTATAATTTTCCACTTTAGTAATACACAAGTTTTTAAAAATATAATATTATGCTAAAAAATAGAACTTTGAGTTTGGATCTCTTTAATTTTAGGTTAGCTAATAGTTTTATGGTTGGCTCTAATTTTAACCTGATTACAGATGCACCGTCTTAATCTTGTACAGACATCATTTATTCACTTACCCATATTCCTGGTCAGGAATGTGTTCACTACACATTCATCTTTTAAATACAATTTCAAAAAGTATTTTTCTTTTTAGAAGGCAGAATCCCTATCTGTTACCACCACCTCCCCTTCAAAAGAAAAAAGATAAAACAATCAGACCACACACATTAAAACAGTCACAGGGAATATTTTTTAAAGATCACTTTCACACATACAGGGGGTCAGTCCCTCCTATAACCCCCAAAGACATGGAGCTCAGATTGTATCGTTCCTTTTTAAAAATTGGGCTATATATTTTTTGTTCGTGAATAATTGAGAGCCTACCTGAATATTGGTGGAGAAATAATTCATAGGAATTTCCCTCCAGATGTGAAAGGACTTTGCATTCCAAATTAGGACAGATGGCCTAGGATCTCCACTCTGTTTCTCATATGCAGCAACATCTTACTAAGGGTTCCATAAATAGAGCTGGGGCTACAATTTATTTTATTGGCTCAGAATCTGAACTACGATGCCTATAGCACAGGTTACCGTTTCCACCCGCTTTCCAAGATCATTATCTCTTTTATTGCTCACAACAACCCTGATAGACAAGAATTTTCTTTCTCCGTCTTTACAGATAAGGAACTTGACTTTCTGGAGTGGATAACTAAGTTTCCCGGGGTCCCACAGCAAGCGAGGCAAATAAATACTCAAATCCAGGTCTTTTGTACTAGATTGCAGGCTCTTTGCACTATATGCCCCACTGCATAACCAGAAAGACACTGTGTGGTTTATTAAAATATTAATACTTGAATTTGAACTCTAGGTCACCTTTAAAAATTCAAACATGTTAAGACCTCATCCATCTTCTGCATGTAAAATCATTCACCCCAACGAGACTCAAAGGTCCCTGGAGGAAGGGCCCCTGTGACTCAGTTTCTCACAGCTCCCAGGATGGGGCAGGGCTGTGTTCCCGGTGGTGCTCTCAAGGAACAACCCCTTAATAACCTCTGGCATGTGGGTCTCAGTTGCTCTTTAACACTCTTGAAGGCATGGGAAGAGGCGGGCACTGTGGTGGATCCTATGAACACAAAATCCTGGTCCCTGTCTGAAGGAGAGCAGTTTTCCATGAGGCGGGACCCCAGGGTGGCCCCATCTGTTCTCAGGATCCCTAGCCCTTCTCCAGCAGACCCCATGCCTGCCTGTGTAGGAGCCACAGTCCAGACTGGGTCCAGTTTTATTTCCCAATTCTACTTGGGCAGTGGTTTATTAACAAAATATTCTTCGAATATATTTATGTCAATAAAGATCTGGTTTGGGATATTTCTACATATGACAAGCAATAAAACCTAGTAGTAATAAAACCCTAAGAAACGTTTAAGTGGCAAATAGTTTACAAGCAGCACGTCCCACTTGGAAAGCAGCCAGAAATACTCTAAAAATTCAGCTATTTACACTTAAATTCTAGTTTTACACTCTTGGAAAGCAAAGGTTCAGAACATCAAGCTGGAACAAGTAGGATCAAATTAAGGATTCTGCCACTAGATGGAGAAATTGCCCCAATCTAGCACAGGCACGGTTCTGGTTCACTGCTGGGAACACCAGCAGGAAAGATATTTACAAATGCCATATCTTTCGACAGTGGCGACTACACCTTACATTTACAAACTCTAACTTTTTTTCAGCTCACTTGATTTCCTTTGCTTAAATCGGGTAGACAACCCCTATTAATCTTTACGGCATCAGTATGTTCTACATTCTGTCAATTATCTACATTCATGATTCAGTGTTGAGTATTTAAATCTCTTGAAAATCATTTAACATCTTTTGCATTTTTTTGGCAATTAGCACTGAGTAAATATACACAAGTTTCACTCCCAGTTCTGCAACTGATTAGATAAAAATATTAAAGTTCATAACAGGTTGAAATTCTTCTTTGGGACAAAGTCTTTACCACCAGCTATAACAAACAACAAAATCTCACCCAAAAAGAGAAGTGGTTTGAATAATAACTAGACCAACCAATTTTTGCATATTGCTTTTATTTTTGCAGAAAATTCTTTCTGCTGATTGTCTTTGGCTACTTTGTCAAAAGAAAGATATAAACAATTGTAGGTTTAACAATACAAAAGATTAGCTACCTATGCTCAGAATAAACACATTCTAGCTGGCAGAGCAGGCAAATTCCCATTTCAACTAAAATCTGCTGTCCTCAACTCCGATATCACCCCGTCCTTCACAGCTCAGCACTACCTATGACACCCGCCACAAAAGGGAGCTGAAAATTACTCAAAAGCAACAAGGAAGAGAATTAAAAGTGTGCTTTTTATCTTGCTAAAGTAGGCCCAGTGGAGTTTACAAATTCTAAGGTGCCAAAGTCATCTACACGCTGTCTGAGAAACAAAAAAAAGTTTCTTGACCCTAGCAAATAATTTTTATTGTGAATCGTGGTGAATTAGGCCAACCACATTGCTTCCAGACTTGAATTCACCTGCAGCACAGAAATGACTCAGGGTGTCACAGCCACGGCAAACAATGGGCAACAGGTGGTGGTGGTGGGACTCCGGTAAATAGCAGGACATGTATTCCTCCTATTTTGAAGCGAGGTTAATAAGGCCTACTTCCTTCCCTTGACCCATGAAACTGTCGCTTTATACCTAGGAGATCAACCAAATCAATACTTGTTGCCGCAACAAAGAAGTCATCGCGTCTTCTAAGACGCAGGCCTTGATTCACATGGAAGGTGGCGACACGGGTGTCCATGAGGCTATCAGGCGGGCTTGGGCCGAGGCGTCGTACTGGCTGTCAGGAATGTCTGTGGCCGTGGCGGCCCCTTCATACAGCGGGGATCCCGAAGAGGAAGGAGCCGAGACTGTGTGGGCGAGGGGCGCGGAATGTGCGGAGGAGCCCCGGAAAAACTGGGCTCCCAGCCCGTTGGCCATCCCTGCCGTCTGAGCGCCTGGCGTGATGGTGCCGTTGCTCACAGACCACAGGCTGGGGTACTGACTGAAACAGAAAAAGGAAAAAGCAGAGACAAGTCAGAGCCCTGGGAGGAGGCTCCAGACCAGCCGCAGGAGGGGAAAACAGACACAGAAAATCCCATTCCTGATAGCCGGGTTGTATGGCGTCTTTCTTTCCAACAGGTCATTTCCCTGTGTTAATAACCACACTCTGAGCTGCACAGAAGGTATTGTCATATCTATTAACATGAAACAAGATCACTGGGAAGCTGACTAAAGAGGTTATTTACATACACATAGCTCCGGCTACAAAAGACTCTGAGCTGGTAGTTTTGTGCTCTTGTTCCGAATCCAAAATTCCAGATATACTGAATCAAATGTTTCAGAGGATGTGTGTCTGTGTCAGCTAGCATGCCCCAATTCTACTGCAGTGATCCTTATGATGGAGACAACACCCTCCTAAAACAGTAAGCTGTGAAAGGCATTCTTGATAGTAACTCCCACATAGGCACCATCCCTGCACTTTATCCTATAATGTCGATACAAATGTCAGCAAGAGGCTCTGCAGAAAGAAATGGACCTGGGAGTTAGATCCGGAAGCAAATCCCAATTCTGCCCTTAACTAGCTGTGTCACTTTAGATGTGGCCTGCAACTACTTTTGAGGCTGTTTCCCATTCTACGAAAGAAGGAGTTGGAAATAGGTATTAAATCCTCCAATCTAAAAACATAGATTTGAATAGCACTAAACCATGTTAAAATTGTGTTTTGAGAAAATTTCTTTTTCTTATAGAAGAGTCCTCCTTACAAATGAATAATGAGACCTTATGCTATATTGCGCTATTTTGTTTACCAAGCCATGTCCTGTATTTCAGAAGCATTTAAACTTGCAAACAAGCCTGAGTTAATGGAAGTTACTATCCCCATTTTACAGATGAAAAGAAATGAGGCTCCGAGATGCCCAAATCTAGGGCTACTGAAATCCTCAGGTGGGGGCCCCATTGCCAGCAGCTTATAACCTGCAATTCATCCAATTTATCTGCAGGTTTCTAAGTGACCTCGGAACCCTTGAAAAGTTTGCTGGTTTCTGCATTGTTTGCTTTATTTTTAAGAGTAGACAATTAGATTCTTACTATAAAGAAATCGTTTCCTAGACAAAAAGAATTAAGATCTTAGGCATATTGTGATATTCTATATACAATAAATTGCTTTGCTTTAACTTGTCTACAGATTCACTCTGCTCTGAGCCAACCACTTGTTAAATCATTTAATATCTTTGAGCCTAGCCTCATTGGAAAATGAGTGTTGACTTCTAGCTTTGTTAGTCTTTTATTATAATAATCCTATGAAGAAATGTGATACATTTACCAATCAGCTTGATTTTTTAAGCCAATCTTCCACTACATAATTTTCAAATTAAGAATAAAACAGTCATCATTCTTTACTAATTGTCAGCCTATATGTTAAAGACTTTGATCCTATATCCACAGAAAAGCCAACAAATTTATTTCCTTAATTTAATAGCTCCCGTCAAAAAATGTTCTGGAAACATTTCTTCAAAATTATTCGGCATATGTGTGTGGTGATGGGTTGTAATTAGTATTTGGGTGGTGAACATGATGTAATCTATGCAGAAATAGAAGTATAATGATGTACACCTGAAATTTATACAATGTTATAAACCAATGTTACTGCAATAAACAAAAAATTAAAAAAAAAAAGAAAATATTTGAAGAAAAAAAAAAATTCACCTACTGACCCCAACAACGTGTAAAGACAGGCTGAAGTTATTTAGCATCTTTTTCTTGAAGAAAATGAAGCTTAGAGAGTTTAAGAGACTTGTCCATTATCTGACCTAATAAACGGCATAGTCAGGATGGGGGCCTGTTTCCTTTTGTTACAGCCACCACTATGAGGCAGCCACCGGTCCTCCCAGAGAACAGACGAGCAGGACCTCACAGCAGTCATGTCACCTGGGATCTCAAGACACACCCGGCGAACAGTAGAATCATAAATAAAAACTCAACCACCCGCGGGTAAAGGGCAGGATAAAGACCAATGAATGAAAATGGCAGGAAGTCACAGGCACGCAGAGTTCCCAGGACGGTTCGCATCGTTCTCCAGATATACTTTACCTAGAGCCAGTAGGTGGACCGGTGTTAGGACTCATGGGGAGCATGCTGGTATGGGCAGGCATTCCGAGGCTGGACCAATTGTCATGGGATTGGAGCATGGATAAACATGCAGATGAATTATCAGAATAGGCTACAGGATGTAAGAAAGTGTCATTATTGATGGGGTCTTCCAAGAGCGACAAAAGGCAGTGAAATACTACCAATAACTAGAGCTACCCAACATGTAAACAAAATGTGTGTGCTAATACAGAAGATAATGCACTAGCCAGCTTTACTGGTTATCGAAGGCTAATATTTATTGCCAAATGTATATATCTGAAAATATATCCCTAAACCCAAGCTTTTTCTTTATCATTAGATCAATAGCTGCCCTGTAGAAACGGAACCCCACTGTCACTTGATTGGGGATGAATTATCTTTAAAAACAAAAATAAATGTAACTTTAACCTGCTTTTTCCCAAAGGATTATTTCTTAAGAACTGAAAAGGCTTTAGAAACCATTACTCCAGGCAAAATTTAAAATACAATCTTCTAGCCTCGGAGTCTAGCCTCTGGTTGAAGAAGTCCCAACAAGTATTTCCTCACCAAACAAGCTCCTTTCATTTCAAACCAGCTTTAATGACTTAATTGTTTTATGGTGTTCATTAGCTTTTTTCCTCCTTTTGGAGCCAGACAAAACTAAGTCTAGGCATACCTGGTGTGAGAGAGAGGGAGTTACAGGGATCTTGATGGTGCAGCCCAGTGTTCCTAATACTTAAGCCTGCATCGGGATCACCAGAGTACTTGTTAAAACAAACTGCACCTCCCCTGGAGCTTGTGATGCAGGAGTCTGGGGTAGAGTCCAGGTGATGCTGATGCTGCTGCTCTCAGCACCATACCTGGAGAATCATACCTGGTGGATCCCTTGGAGAATCATACTTGAATCTAGTCAAGCCAGTAATTTTTGTGCCTGGCTGACCCAACATCATCACTTTAGAGAGGTTCATAAAATATCCAAAATTGGGCCCCACCCCTGGAGCTGGGAGATGGACCCACAGTCCTGGAGTGAAAAAGCTCGAGCAATCACTGACACACATTCAGCACCGAAAGCCCTTGCTCTGGACCTCCCTGTGGCCAAGCCAGCAGTGGTACGGACATGAGAACGAAAGCTCCTCTTGAGCCACTGAAGAGCTGGGTTTGCATGTGGGTTCTGGAGGAGGTTCTGCTATCCTGCCCTCTGGACCCCCGCAAAAGGCCTTTCCAGAAGTGGTCTTCCAGCCACCCCAAACCCCTGGTCTACCTGGACCTAAGACTTACTTGGAGAATTGTTGCGATGCGCGTAAGGGCTGGGGTAGGGGGACGGACGGTGGTTCCTCAGGGCGGTGTACCTTTCACAGCCGTGTGAAGAGGGAAGCGAGAGGGGGCCTCCAAACTGAGGGTGGGGGGTGGCAGGTGGACACAGGGTGCTGGTTCCAGGAATAAGCCACCCCCCTGCTGTGAGAAAAGAATGCTGGGTAACTGGCATTTGCATTACCTCCATGATTGGAGGGACGACAGAGCTGAGACCAGGGATTGTGGATCTTTTCCTTAGTCCCAGATGAGGTGAGGATTCCTGGTGTTAACCCTGAGTACCCTAAGGCTTTGTGGGCATCAGCTCCACACTAGAGGCCACAGGTACCAAGGTTTCCAAACCCACAGAGCACCTGAGAAAACCCGGGGGACCCCAGCCTCACCAACACCTGCTGCTTCCTCAACGGCTCTCATTGGAACCCCCACCCCCATGCCCACCCCCAGAATCCTCCCGACCTCTTATGGGATTTTCCGTCCCCCGGGGAAGTCAGCTTTCAGCTCCTAACTGCTGAGCATGAATAAAAGGTCAAAACAGACAAAATTCAGAGCCAGACACCCTCAAGACACACAGGGCTGGCCATGCCAGTCGTGTGCCTCTGTCTTCCCCTCCCCTTGCTCCCACCACCCACACAGCCCTTCCCAGGAGCTGTCGTCCTTGCCCCAGGGGCACCCATTTTCTGCTTTTCTTTTGTTTTAGGCTCTCATTCTCCCCCCGCCCACACACACATCAGTCAGAAAATCACATCAATCAGAAAATCGTCCCAACACTGTCCTGTCCTCCTCTAAAATTCCAATTTCTTCTCCATTCTTTTTTTTTTTTTAAGTTATCTTTTTTAATTCAGAAAAGCAAACTTTAGGGGGTTAACTACTCTAGCTCCAATTTCCCAACTACAAATAATTCTTCAGACAACATTTAAATGAGCGAAGGGTCCAGATGTGCCCACAAAGACTGGGCCCCGTCACTGCCCAGAGCAGTTGTTCGTGGTCTCCTCTTACATGGCTGTCTATGAGCCACTTTAGGAGACTGTTACATGGGCCTAGAACATGATTTTAAAAATACAGTGCAGAACACAATTCTTTGAGGAGTGTGCCATGCCGGTTCATCCAGCCTCTTGAAGTGACTAGGAAACACTAACTTTTCTCTCTTAACAATGTCCTTGTGTGGAGGGCTGGACAAAGCAGTTTCTCCTGCCACTATCTAGACCCATATCGCTTGGCATGCAAATCCTAAAGGAAGCTAGACTTAAAGCAGACTTTCCCCATCTTATGAGCAACTGTTTCCACCAAAAGCAGCAGGAGTTGATGGAACACGCCTAGAACCAAAGTGGGTTAAGAGAAAAACCACATTTGTTCATAAGCCGAAGATGGTCCCTCGGTTTTCAATCATTAACAAAAATAGAAACCATCTCAAAATGGATATAACGAGCTAGGTTCTCCTCTTGCCCAACGCAGCAGAGTCACCCACCAAGGTCTCACCAACCCATCCCAGCCATGGTTGGAGCCAAACCAAAAAGCCCAGGTAAATCCTCCCCAGACTTCTCTGTCAAGAGTCCCACAGGCTGGGTGAGCTTCCACACCCCCTAGTCAGAGCAGAGGTTGAAAACCAGTAAGTAGAAGACCAGTAGTAACATAGCTTCAACATCATGGGGCCATGTCCCTTGCACAGCGGGAAGGAGAGTCTGCTCCCCAACCACACCCAGAAACTCGCTGTCTGCTCCATCTCCAGCTTCTAGCTCTCAGCAGTCTAATCCCAAAACAAGGTACACTGGGGCAGAGCACAACAAACCGTACATTGGGAGTACCCAGATTGCTGGCTGTCTCCAGGTTCTTCCATCATATCTTTATGATCACTTCTGTCAAAAAAGTGTATCAAATTGTCAAAAAGGAGAACATTCAGAAAATAATACTTGCCGCAGTATTTCATCTTTCTGCATATTTCTTTGCCCAAAGGGTATAGTTAGAATTCTCTCACCTTTCCTTTGCATCAAGGAAAGCTTTTGCAAATGGATTGTATTTAATTTTAAGAGCTGTGATCTGGAAAACAAGAAATTGCACTTACTGGTATAGTACTCATTAGCCAGAGGATTTAATTTCGCACCAAGGAATTGGGAAACACCAGTACCCCCTTTAAATATTCAAATATAATCAGACTTCTTTCCAGGTGTATTTTTCTATTTGTGTCTGAAATTACTGAGTAATTGTAATATTTCATAAAGAATAGCATATTTATGAGAAGTTTTTAAATGCCTATTTTCTGAGTGGGATTCACAATAAATTGAACCTACTACTGACAATATTCTGCGTGCATAAATCAAACAAACATGGCCCAAAACATAAACTAGATCCGCTTAAGAAATAGTGGTCTGCTAGTTCTAGTTGGCAGTCAACACTGACAACTTAACCCGCTCATCACAAAATGTCTGTACTCTGAGGTTAGACTTAGATGTAGATTTACAGGCACCTAAGCAATAGTCTGAATCTAGCTGATTCTTCACACTGCACAGGTCTGGAGAGTTGCCCTTCCACCCTTTCAGGAAGATTTCCAAAGTAAAGAGATGCCTGTTTCTCACTCAAGTCTTGTTCTCAACAAATTCTCATAGAGCTTCATCTAAGTGTTTCAATCATCTTTTCATTTTGCCCATTTAATTGATGTTTCTAGTTTTGGATACTCTTACAGAGAATTAAAGGGAAAAAAAATGCTTGAATTACTTTAAACTCTTCTCCCCTCTGTCCCAATTTTATAGTTATGGTAAATTATTTGAAAAGGCAGTCTGAAGTACACTAACCACACATAATCTCCAAGAATGCTCCCTCCCTGCATCCCTCTCACCTCCTCATTCTGATAAGCCGTCACAGCGATGAACTGTGTCTCTGGGAAGCAGTGGCTGGTGATCATGCGCTGCGGACCCCCAACTCTCACTATGTGGATTCGAGGCTCATACTTATGTAAGGAGTTCAACATGATCTGAGGGAGACAGAAATACGGGAGCCGTGACCATCACAGTCCTACCATTAAGACCACAGAATATCCATTTGTCCTGCTGTTGAGAAGTAAAATACATCCAAGATCCAGAAAATCCTGTAGCTCACAAAAAGATGTCTTTACTGCTGAAGCTGGCGGGTTTCCCAGCAAGGTGCTGCTTCCCATGACTAGTTTGGGAAAAGGAATGTGAGATGTTACACACCATTAAAGGCAATGAATGCCCATCACGAAATCCTTTGACCTAGTAGAATAAAATTCTAAGGCTTCCGCCAGGGCTATAGACGTCTTTAAATATCTGAGCTTGTTTGCAGCTTGCTGGAACACGGGGTCTCCCAGGGACAATCCCCAAGTAAAGAACGTTCTTTAGAAAAGGACACATGTACAAGTTTGTTGAGACTTCAAGCAGTAAATGCTGTGACACATATTTAGATTTAAAGTGACTGTTTATCTTGGAGGCTATTATTTTCTCTACTCCTGGGAAAGTTCAGGGCTAGAATGAAGAAGTTCCCGCACAGTTTGAGACCCGCCGGAGTGTTCAGAGGTGAGGTTTTGCGCCCTCTCCCAGCTCTCCAGGCCTTGCTGTTACCATCATCAGTTTACCATAAACAACGCTGAGGGCTTCATGGAGGAAGGCTGTGGCAGTCTCCCCAGGGCAGATGTCACCTTCCGTGCAAGCAGGTCCCTTCCAAGACTTGCCACGCAAAAGGTGCGGACCCGCGGGCCCCTCTTCGCGCCGTCCCCGCCCTCCGCGGGCTCCATCACACCTACCTGGCCCCCTCCGTTGAGCTTGTTGGTGAGCTTGACTTTGCTGAAGGAGACCGGCGCCTTCATCCAGTGCGCCCCGAAGTTGGGGGAGTCGGGGTGGATGTAGACACAGCTGGGCGCCTGCGGCTCGGGCTTGCCCCCCGGCACCCACTCCCCGTTCACGTACTTCCAGCGGTGGTTGTCGGCCGCCACGAAGTCCAGCAGGAAGGAGTACATGGCGTTGGGGTCCAGGCCAGACACGTTCACCTTCAGCACTGGGAACATCCTCCTGGAAAGGAAGGATGGCAGCAGGAGGACCCTGGATCTGACCCGTTAGACCCAAGGCAGAAAGATTGGGACAGAGGCATCTGTCCTTTCGGGGCAAAGGGGAGGCCCCTTGGGAACAGTCAAAGGGGACTCCCAAGCTCCCCCTTCCCAGAGCCCTCCTAGGTCCCAGGCTTCCTCCACACTATCCCTGGCTCCGGAGGCAGGGGCGGAGAGGACCCAGGCAGGGGTTTCAGCAGCCGGGCCAAGCCGGGCGGGCAAGCGTGGGCGCGGGTCTGGGAGACTCCTCCTCCGAGCGTCTCCTCCCCAGCCTCCGCGGAGACAACCCCAGAAGAGTGACGATTAGGGGCCACAAGGGTCTGTTCCGATCCCGAGCAGAAACGAGCAAAAAGACTTCCACCAGGAGAAAGTTTTCGACAGTAAGGAGCTTTCCAGGAGCCCCGCCCCCCCATCCCGGCCAGCCCAAGTGCGTGGCGCACGCCGGGGCTCCGGCCGCGCACCCACCTGCCGTTCTTGGTGACGATCATCTCGTTGGTGAGCTGCTTGAAGCGCAGCCACAGCTCGCTCTCCTCCAGGCCCACGCGCAGCTCGCGCTCCGTGGGGTCGCCCTTCTCGCTGCCCGCCTGCAGCTCGCTCTCCACGGCGCTCAGCAGGTGGTCCACTCGGTGCTGCAGGCTCTTCCCTGCGCCCTCCGTGCCTGGGGAGCTCATCCTCCCGCCCGCCCCCTCCCCACCTCCCCCCGGAGCCCCGACTCGCTACCCGAGAGCCACCTTCACCCCAGTCGGCGGCCGCTTTTCCAAGAAAAGAGGCCGCTCGGGCCAAGACCCGCGACGGAGCCCGGGTCCCAGCACAGACCCGGGAGGAGGGCGAGGACGGAGATCTGGGGGGGGAGGGGGCGGGGGAAAGGGGTGGGGGGGAAGGTTATTCCACTTGAACTCCCTCAAGGCGCGACTAGAGTAGGTCTCTGGGGAGAGAAAATCGGTCCCCTCCCCATAAATAGAGCCGCGGTGGCCGCGGAGGGGGGCGCGGCGGATTGGGCCGTACGCCCTTTGAAGTGCCAAGGTAGCTGCCCATTGGCCGCGCGCGGCCATATCAGACCCGGCCCGGCGGGCTGAGGAGGCCGGGGGCCAACAATGGGCTCCCGCGCCTGTTTCATGTAAATCCGGGGCCCCGGCCCAGCCCCTACACCTCCGCCCTCCCCCAAATGTTTGCACCTCCTTCAAAGCTGCGGGGCGGGCCCGCGGGCCGGGAGGAGGTCGGGGGCGGGGTGGGGGTGGAGGAGCCGGGCTCCCGAGCTCGCCCCGGCCCGCACGTCCCCGAGGGGCTGCCCGGCCGCCCGCGACGCTCCCCAACTCCGGCTCGCGGGGCGCTCCTCGCTCTCCAAGCTCACCCCCGATCCCGCAGGTGTGCGCCAACCGGGAGTCGCACCGCGGCGCTCACCTGCGCCCTGGCCCGCTGACCTCCGTTCCCCGCCTGCGACCAGCGCGCACAGCCGGCTTAAGGGCGCTCCTTGTCTGCCTCTCCCGGGTCGGGCTGGTCTCGCTCCTCCTCGCCCCGCGGCGCATCAGGTGGCTTCACCAACACCCACCACCGTGGATCAGCCCACCCGGCGTCCCCTGTTCCCCGCGGCCTTCACCTGTCTGGAAGGGAAGCCCCGCGCGCTCGGCGTCTCTGCCCATGAAAGAAACAGACGAAAATCAACCAAACGACCCCTTTTTGGAAGTTTTCTCGCTTCCCATATAAGAACAGGACTTTCATGACCAGGGCTGCTCGTGCACTGACTGACCTGGGAGTCTGCTTGGGGTCTGTGGTCTGGTCTTTGTTTTTGCGGAGGGTGGGAGTGTGAGGGGGCTGGCCCGGGTGATCCCCCGCCAGCGGGGTTCGGGGTGCGCTTCCCAGTCGGGCCCAGCCCGGCCACCGTGCCCGGCGGTGTGGGGAGCGGCCAGTTTATTACCTTTCTGTGAGAACCTCGACGAGGAGAGCGAAGGAAAGGTGACAATGAGCAGGAAATAGTTCAATAGAGTCTCTTTCAACAATAACCTTCCTCCTAAAATGGGAGCCCACGCAGGGGGAAGGAAGCTCTGTGTCTGAGCGCTGGCTGTGCGCCTCGGAACCCCTTGCCCACCGCTCTCACAAGAGCGGGTGGTTCCAGCCTCAGTTTCCCGGTCTTCTTCCCGCGCACCCCTCCCCACAGCCTCTGGGAAAAGCCCGTGCATCGGGTGGGGCACTCGATTCAGAACAGCCCTGCGTCCTAGCAAGAGGGCTCTCCGGGCAGAACAAGAAATCTGCACCTATCGCTAACTCTTCCCTGCCCGGCGTCTGGCCGGGCTCGCTCGGGGTGGAGAATTATGAGGGAAACTGCCCGAGGGACCTGGGCTGGGACTCGGAGGACCACCCCGCCTCTGCCTTCCAGGAGCCTGCTCCCGCAGGGCGCCGGCCGCCCCCCGGGTGGGATGAGCTCGCTTCCAGGGCTTCTTTTCCGCCCATCTCCAAATGGAGACTGAGGAGTCGGGAAGCCTGGCGCACCTCGCTACTGTCCTCATCTCTCAGTTTCTTTTGTTGTCTGGGATGCATGGAATGCCCAGGGGGCTGACCCGACGGGGGAAGGTTCCTTCTGGAAAGAGGCACCAAAAGGACCTCATTTGCTCCTAGCGCCGACCCTCCAGAACGGCCTTCCACCCGGCTCTTCGGGCCGTGGGCTCTGGGGGGCTTGTGTGTGTGTGTGTTTCTTGAGAAAATTCAAATATCTATAGTGTCACCTATGGAGCCTAAGACCCCCGAGTCTCCGCACTCAGCATAAAGGGGAAAGGCGGGGTGAGGTGGAGGAAGAAGGGTGGGTCCCCGGCAGTGGAGGATGTCCGAAACGCTCCTGACGCTCCTCGACCCCTAAGGCGGGAGCTATCGTGGCGCTGACCACTCGGGGGTCGATTTTTCCAAAGTCCAGAAGAGCTCGTGAAGACTGGGGTGTTTACCAGGTCGCTCCAGGACTGTGGTTCTGATTTCAGTTCAGCTCCACAAACAGGAGCCGGCACGGCCAAATATGAATAAAACCCCGGCAGGAAAGAAAGTTACGTTTCAAACATGCGCAGTGATATTCCTACCCTCCACAAAGACAGTCCGAAGTCTTCAAGAGCAAGATCCAGAAATCTGACCACAGGAGTTGGGGGCGTCCCAGGCTGGAAGTTACTGACTGTGCCATAGCTGGGGAGCATGTCTCGTCTTTCACGACCGATTATTTTTCTTCTCCTTTCTGTGCCTGATTTTCTGGATCTTTGTTTCTTAGTTCTCAGGACAAGCGTCTCCACTCTCTCGGCCTTTTCAATGAAGGCTGCAGTGCATGACAGTTTACAGCCAAAAACTTCCTCCGGCCCAGCTATAAAGAATTCCCAGTTAATAACAACGTGCTTCCTTGCGGGGAGGAGGGGCTGAGGCACTTCTAGCTGTTTCTCTCCCAACGTCTGTCTCTCCTTGGGAAGAAGCCCAGCCATTCAGGGAAAATAAGAAAAGGCCTTATGGCTGGGCCTCAGGGTGCAACTGGTCCCCCTCCCCCAAAATAACTTAAGAAACACTTACAAGAAATCACGGGCGTGCACACACACACACACACACACACACACACCCCTCAATTCCCAGAGAGGTAGTTTTCTGCAGGCCCAACACTTCTCAAGCAACAAAACCATTTGTCTTTTAGGAGCAGGTATCACCGGTGCTGTAAGAGGCTCAAGGCCCCAGAGCAGGGGACAGCATCGTGGGACCCTTACCATGCACTCCAGTTCCCACTTTCTGGAAGAAAAAATAATTTTCTGATCACATAATTTGAGCTTACTGTAGAATATACTATATATATCTGTATATACATAATATGTGTGTGTATGTGGACATAAAAACCTCAAGCTCTGTTCACTGTTCGTATTTGGGCGGATTTTCCTCACCTTTTTTCATTTTGTTCTTCTGGTGAGTTCTGCCTCTCCTCCTGGTTAAGCAGACTTGACAAAAGCACTTGCAAGTCCTAAATTGAAGACAACATGTAAAGGTGCTTCACAGCAAATCATTTCTGTCACAGTTGGCTTATTTGTCTTGCCTGTTGAAAGAAACCCAATGAATTTTGTCACGGTTTTTAAAGTTGCATGATATAATTCTTCAGACTCCTTAGCATTGAAAATTTTAAAAGACCATTGGGTTGTTTGGGGCATCTCTGGTTTGTGGGAAAGAACAAAATCATGTTTTTTGAAGTCTTTTTCTGAGTCCAGTGGCCCAACTCTGCCAACTCAGACTCTCCTCTGAGCTTTGTGATGCTTGTCCAGAGCTGCAGGGGAAGGGTGTGGCCTTTGCAGGTGCAGAGTTGGATGACCATCAGCTGAAGGAAGCAGTTCAAGACCCAGGCCATCCTCGATACACATTCTGAGCCGCCGCGCTTTGTCACACACGACAGTGTACGGTTTCATGACGGGAGGTCACATGTTAAAAACAAACCAGCCTGAATGCTTGGGGTTGTGACATTTCTCCTTAAGGTTCCAGTGCAGCTGCTCCAGGCCCCTTGGAACTCAAGGCTGCAGAGGAGAAAGCTGTGGGCAGCTGGATTAGGGTCCCTTACGTGGCAGGTAGCTTGAGAGCTTTCTGTCCGGATACTTAGTTTTCCAATCCTTGTAGTTCACAGGCTTCTTCCCGATGTATTCCAGCGGGATCTCTTTTCCCTGATTTCTCTTGGAGTGCAGGGCAGGCCCTCTCAACAGTCTCTGCAGTTGTGACTCACTGGTAGCAGGTTCAGCTGTTCTGTTTCTTCCTCGGGGTTATCTGTACTTCCAAATCCGGTCACCCTTGCCTGTCCCCAGCTTCTCCCACCTTCTCCCCTGGTTTCACCTCTCAGACCTTCTGCCTGTATTAAGCGCCTTGTGAAAGGTTTTTTCCACACCACCCTGTCAAGTCACCTCAGTGTCACTTTTGGTGTTTACGGCCTCCCTTGCAGATTTTATTTCTCCGTTGAAGCTTTGGTTTTCTAACAGTCCCTACTTCCTCCATGTCCCGGGTCCCCTTCTCCCGCTACCTTCTGTCTCACCCTGCTCCTCAAGGCTCTGTTTCTGTTTCTGAGAGGCCGTGGTTTTCCGTCTTACTGAGAAGGCCAAACAGTTTTCTGAATTTATCTTCCGGCTCCTGTCTATTATTTCCCAAGGCTGCGTCTCCTCTGAGTCTATGAAGCACCCCCCTTAGCCCTATCCCTTAGCCCCAAGCTCTTTTCTTTTCCCACATTCTCCTCTTAACTAGGGGCCGTCTCCCCAGCCGGCTGCCAGCCCGTGGATCACTCTCCGTGGACCCTGTTGTGGAGGACGCTGCCATCACAGCTACCCTGTGAGATAGTAGACGGACGTGCAGGGTCTGTGTTACTCACCATGAAACCAGCCCTTGGCCTGTGGAGGGGACTCGACAGGTTCCTAGTGACAACTGGCTTGGCAAAACTGGAAGGCAGCTAGCCTGTGTCTCTAGGAGGAGCAGGAGCCACCGTTCTCCAAATCCCCCTGGGCACGTGCTGTGGGGCATTTTAACAACACTGGACTGGCATTTACCCTTGACATGTACTAAAATGCAAGCCATGGAAGCTAGAGTGGTCTTTCTTTCTTTAGTCATGCACTCATCAATTCAAATCGTCAACTGTCTCGAAGACAGTAAAGGAAGGATTCCCAATGGAAATTGTGTATCAAATGAGACCTAAAAA